GGACCTTGTTATCAAATTGATAGCTCTAAGATTCCCAAGTAAATGGCCTGCACATTCGATAGCGTCCGATATATCTGCGAATCCCGATAGGAGCGTTGGCGCCAGGTCTGCAGCTATTCAAGAACTTTCCAGGAATTTATGGAACCTAAAGGTTCATTACCGTGTTCACAAGAGACCTCCACTGGTCCCTATCCTGAGCCTCATCAATCCAGTCCATACCACCCCATACTAAGATCCATTTTAATATTATTCACCCACCTACGTCTTGATCCTCCTAGTGGTCTCTTTCCTTCTGGCTTTCCCACAAAATCAAAATCGATCAAAATATGGTCAATTTGGTTGTGCATCTTTCCATCAGGGGATCTTAAGTAAATTTGTGAATGTTACGATGCGGTAACGTTGTACTTTTGACATTTTTGGATCTAGCAAAGTTTACTGCTCTAACTCCATTATCATTATTAATTTCATGTAAACTCTCATTCCCAATTTTTGGTTTGAAATTGTCTTCCCTACCTACTTTGGCACTGAGATCTCCTAACAGAATTGACATATGGTGTTAGAGAATTTATGGAATACACATTCTAGTTCTTTGTAGAAGCCATCCTTATCATCAATTTTATCCTCTGTTGGGGCATGAACATTCAGAAAAATGATATCACACCAGCGACCTCTTAGTATTATGTACTATATCCTATCTCCAACAGACTTTGCCCACTTAACTGCTGATATGATTCTCTTATGTACAAAACGATTCTTTTATGTACACAATGATTCTCTTATGTACAAAAGAATCTGTACCTAATTGATGCTTCTCATTCCTCCTTCCATAGGTTCGGTGCCACCTTTGTCCCATCTGACATTCAGTACTCCCACTAAATCTAACTCATATTTTGAGATTTCTTTCGCAACTGTCGTGAGCGAACCTGCCCTATACAGACTTCTTACATTCCACATTCCAAATCTCATGTCCATTTTCCTTCGCTTACGTCGTTTATTCAAGGAATCCATCAAAGTCCGAGGCCCTTTGTGACATTTAGTAACAAGCTTTTTTTTTTTTTTACTGTGAGGAGTTATCCTCACGCCCAACCCCCGAACTGGAGAAGCACCCGTTGTCGGCTGTCCGCAACTGCTTATTCAGTATATTCGCAGCTACCCTTCATATCTGTAGGTCCTTCCTTCTTCCGCAACCTGATGACGTGCCAAACCGTGGTGACAAGGAACCCATCTGACATGGGTACAAATATGCTACAGAAAGAAAAACAGATCTTTGCTAACAAAACATACACATAATTGTCATTGAGTAGACGTAAGTACTCCAACATTATGGTATGCATACCACAGAATCTGCTCCAAATATTTTATGCATGCGACACAAGCTTGCCTTACTCGTCCGCGATGACTTTCATTATTCCCCAGCAATATAATACCTAGTCATAATTACCAGTCATTTTCTCACGTCAGTCCAGCACACATTCGTTACAATATTTCAGCGAGCCTCCGAAATATTTACCGTCACCAGCCACCTATTTCCCTCATTTGAACACAGTGATTTTCATTATTCCCCAGAAGAGTAATGAGGCTTCGTAATACGCAGTCGTTATCAGTCATTTTCTTACCTCAGCGCAGCACGCTTTCAATACGATTTTGCAGCGGGGCTCAGACATAGATAGCTACTATCATCAGCCACTTTTCTGCCTCATTGGAGCATGATAACTTTCGTTATTCCCCAGTAATGTAACAAGGCTCCAGAAGAGGCAGTTTTCATTTGCAAACGCAAAGCAACAAACGTTACATAACTACAGTAATTAGGTTTACTACACGAACCTTCAGATATTCTGTACAATTTAACTCAGTAATATTAAGTTTTAAGTAGAAACACAGTTTTCAGCACGCAATACTGCACACACAGGATGGCTGTACATTTTTTAGTTCTTTCGCATATCATCATCACTGACAAATATAGGCTACGACATTTTTCGTTTTACGCAGTTGAGTTCCCCAGGTTTTAATGAGTTCGGACGGAAGCAGTGGCTTTCTATGCTGTTTTGCGATTGATAGATGAGTCAGAGAAGGGAAAAGTGAAAGTAAAAGTAAAGCTATCCCTGTAACAGGCCGTGAAGGCCCAGAGGGTTGTGAGACATTGAGCACATTGAGGGTCCCACATTGTCTAGACAATCGGCTCAAAGATGGCGGTAAGGTTGTCAGCCTTACACGACGGCCGCGCTTTACTCCCCAGGAAAATTATTTAATTAATTCCTGGTACTCATTTCTGTTAGAGGCTGAGTCGAACCCAGCGCCTAGTGCGGCCGAAAGGATTAGGTCAATTGAAAAAAAACCAATGACTTCATCGGAACTTGAACCCGCGACCTTCCGGCTTGCAGCATAGTGCCTCAATCAGCTACGCTACCGCGTCAGGGAAGGTGGATAATGAAAATTCCAAATCCATGGAGTGAGTTTTTTTTTTTGAGAAGATGATCGCTCACTTGATTAAGAAATCCGCTTTGTATAGACACCGAACCGTCTTTACCATGTTAAAAAATCACAGAGTTCCTAAGTCGGATGAATCTAGTCTATCTTCTCACAAAATCTAAGCTTCATTTTCATGTTAACCTCCCATCTATGCCTGTGTCTTCCAAGTGATCTCTTCCCTTCAGGTTTTGCGACTATAATTATGAATATCTCATCTTCCTCATACACACTACAAGCCAAATCTTCCCTTTGATTTTACCACTCTAATAATATTTGATGAAATTACGAAGATTCTCAATGATAAATATTCTCCTTCTGTTCCTCTCAATATGATGTTCGCGAACACCATCAATCCGAGGAATATTCTAGCACACATCTGAAAATATACTCACAAATGTGCAGTTTATTTAGGACTCTAAGTAACATACATGGCTAAGCGGCCTCCGTAGTCTAGGGGTAACGTTCCCACCTCATGACTCAAGGTACGTGGGTTCAAAAACCCTGTGGAGGTTGTGGAATTTATAAGGGCGGAAAAATTCAGGGAACAAGTCCTCCGGGAGGGACTTTAAGCCGTGGGTCCCTTGTCATAGATTTACGGCACGTAAAAGAACCTCATGTCTCTAGGAGACCTCTGAGCAAAATTAGGCCATGTTTCCCGCCCAACTAGTTTCCAATTCCTCCATTAGATGGGGGAAGTATCAGGTACCACTGCCAGAAGAGGGGGGACCTCTCTGACAGAAAGGGACTAAAGTATTAGATACCACTGCCAAGTAGAGGGTAGAAACCTTGCTGGCAGAAAGGGACTAGGAACCCCTGCCAGAGGAGGGATGACCTCGCTGACAGAAAGGGACTAACTATTAGATATCACTGCCAGTAAGAGGTTGGAACCTCTCTGGCAGAAAGGGGCTGATAGTAAGCACCAGTACCGGTAGGGTATGGAGACAGTAGAAATTAAAGTGGGACGCACAATGGACCAGTAACCGGTCTAAGTGCATAGGGAAACCCACCCCCTCAATATGGAATACGGAACATACATGGCTAAAATCTGTCACGTAATTGAACTGATGGGAGGAACGGACACGATGAAGGCATCAGACGCTTGTGTATTATACCGAAATGCACTACAATTTCAGCTTCTTCCGTGAAGACGCTCAGGTCACACTGATGAGCTGAATTACCTGGGGGTTGTAGTTTAATCTGCTTTAAAAAAGAGATATTTCCTTCTGGATTTCCCTGTCGTTGCAGAAAAAGTCTTTTGGAAGGGCGGAGGAGTCTATCAGTAAGGTATTTAACCAAAATGCACATAAAAATGTAGGCACTTTCCAGTTTAAAATTCAAGTGAAGAACAATAACATGAAATATGTAGGAAATGCCAAAATATGTAAAATTATGTAGCAATGCTAATGCTTGGAGATTATTATTTTTTGAGCATTTACATATTCGTAGTAAGAAATAAAATATGTATTTACATAAAAATCCTACCCCTAGTCATCATTATACCTTCCATTTAAAGCATATAACAATCATTGCCGTTCTTTGCATGGAAGACCTGGACGCAGTTTATGGAGGTCAGAAACGTGGTTTTATTTAATTAAGCGAGTTCTATGCGCAACATTGCGGAAGGTTAAATCCATTCTTTTATATTTCTATGTGTGAAATTCTGTAAAGCCATTATAAGAAACTTAAGGCTTATAGGAAATGATAGACTTCATTAACGTGCGCATGAACCATCTTCAAATATTGGTAATCAAAATTAAACTCACGAAAGGATTTAAGGGCGGTTTAAATTCATGGAATGCTTGCTGCCTTTCAATTCAGAATTATACCATCCCATCTCCAACCTAACAACATAAAAATTAATATATCTTGAGATTTTATGTTTCTTGTTAAGGTAACAAAGTATAGAGGGAGGGGTTCTACCTGGATTTGTCCATTGGGTGCTTTTCAGTTGACGGTAATTTGCCTCACGTTGATAACATTGAAGTGTTAAGTCCTCAAGGCTGTTAGAAATATCTTCCATTGGCATGTCTTGGGGAAAGTGACAGATTACTGCCTTGATACGCTTTTCGGAATTTGCGGAGAATGTAGAATAGTGGAGATTATTTCTCTGTAGGTACAGTTTCATATCTGAATAGTCAGCCATTTCTTTTATAATGATACAGGCTCTGTATCATGAATTTCCTCTCCTTACACATGGTCTTTTAAATCGTTTTGTAGTCGAATGAGGCTTGTGGTAGATGTCGTCACTATTGGTGGCTGCCTACCTGGTTTTATGGGAATTGACTGCATGGAGTAAGTCTTTCTTAAGGAAATCTTAATCACTTGACTGCTAAATAAAAGCCCACCTTTTATGGAACCAAAACATTCATTACTATGTTCACAAGAGCCCACCACTGAACTCCGTCTTGAGCAGTTATACATTTATGCATTTTTTTTTTCAAATAATTAGGTGATTGCATTCTTATCTGCAAAATTTGTGTAGTTTTATTGTTCACAAATATTTTTGTGTTGATTGTATCTTATGTTTGCAGGATGTATCAGTTATTATTGGCGCTCTTGGTGACTGCACTCTGTGTGAACTCACTGACTATGTATGGCTCCCATAATGTTAACATCTTAGTTTTAAATATGTCTGATCAGGAAGATGAGGGCAATTCCAATTTCAGTGGACCTCCTAAGCCCTCAGAAGTGGCTAAGATGGCACGCTACATAATGCATAACTCAAGTAAGAAGTTAAGTTAGATGTCATCACAAAATGAACTCCTACACTTGAATCTTGTCCTGAACCAGATATTTAAATAAAGACCAGTACAATTTAATGTATGCATTCACAAATATTACTCTGTTGTGAATTGTTCTCAAGAACACTGACTTTCTGACAGAATTTTTTTCATGGCTTTCTTTAGTCTCACCAGGTGAATATGACATACTGTATGTCCTTTAAATAGACCATGATCAACTTTTTAAAAATTTATATCCAGTGTCCAGGTTCTGTTAGGACTGTGTTCATTAAAAATACAAGACTTGAATTATTTTAAAAATTTCACTCTTTTTATTCAAAATAGTCTCCTTCTGAATCAATACATAGCTGGAATCAGTTGAAAAGTTTTTGAAAACAGTCACTGTACTGCTTTTGTGGAATCGCATTTAAAACTGTGGTATATTCCCTTTGGATGTCCTGGATGGTGTCTTTATGGTCTCCTTTCATCGCCAACTTAACTTTTGGGAATAACCAGAAATCTGCTGGAGCCAAATCAGGCGATTACGGAAGATGATCAAGGACTGTGATCCCTTTTCTGGCCAAAAAATCGCGCACCATCTTCAATTTGTGGGGTGGGGCATTGTCGTGGAGGAGTGGCCAGGAACCATGCTCTCGATATTCAGGTCGAATTCGAAGAATTCTCGCCCACAAACGATTGAGGACTCCGAGATAATAATCAGAATTCACTGTCTGACTTTCTGGCAGAAATTCTTTGTGAATGATTCTTTTGGAATCAAAGAAAAACGGTTAGCAGTGTCTTTACTAGACTCTTTTGCATGCGCACTTTATTTGGTTTCGGCTTCTTTGGGCTCAACCACACTGCACTCTGCCGCTTTGTGAGAGGCTGATATTGAAAACACCAAGTCTCACCACCAGTAACAATCGAATTTGTAAATTTTGTATCACTTTGGGCCGACCGTAACATATCTTTGCAGTGTTCCACTCTGGCATGTTTTTCATCACCTGACAGCACGTGCGGTACAAACCACCCACAGACCTTCGTTTGCTCAAATCCTCAGTCAAAATTTGATGCACAGTACTTTTTAGTATTCCCAAAAGCTCCTCGATGAGTCTTGTAGAAACACGTCTGTCTGATGCAAGGATTTCGGTCACTTGTTTCACATTTTCTTCAGTGCAACTTGTTCTCGGGTTTGATGCACATGGAGCGTCTTCAGTGTCCTCCCTGCCATCACGAAATACAGCATACCATTGAAAAATGTTCGAGCAACTCAAACAATCACTACCGTACACACTTTTCATCATTTTGTACGCTTCTCTGGCTGTTTTGCCTAACTTCAAACAAAATTTGATGTTGGCTCTCTGTTCAACCGCCATTTTCTGACGAGTGTCAGAACAGTACTGTTACATTCAAGGTCAGAACACATGATGCAGCGATGCTTGCACTTTGAAATTATAGACGGCTACAGCAGAAACTTCAAGAATCTTAAGGCCTCAACTCACCAATAGATGGCATTGCAAGGCAAAATAAAAAGAAATGTGTCCTAACAGATCCTGGACACACTGTGTATCTATGCACCATTCATAATTTTATTCCAATTTAACCAAACATTGCTGTTGAAACAATGTTGGCCAATAACCTGAGAATTAATTATTAAAATTTGTTAGATTTGGAGCTGTCAAGGTTGTGGCTAAGAAGAGTATGGTCCTTTTGAGTTTTAATATCATGTAGTTTGGAGACAGCCTGACATTTTGGAGGGGTGTATTGGCAGGATTGCTGCCTGTTTCTGCTGGTTTCTAGCTCGGCATACACTTTGAACCTGAAGCTGGTGGCAGTATATGCTTCTGTATCATTGCACTGTCACTGAACTACTCAGTTCTACAACCCAGAAGATCAGACTCTCAATAAAATTTGCTATTTCTTGGATGTGTGCAAACCTATATTTGATTAATTCCATTATGTGCTGCTGTCTTCTGTTATTCAGTGAAAATAGTAGGAGATTTTATACTCTAAGCTATTAGTAGTGGCTCTAGATTGTGTGAATAAAATGGAGGAATGTCAATACAAAAGGAGTTTGTAAAATTTATTACTAGTTTAAAATCATTAGATGAGGAATTAGATATTCTGTTGTTGGAAGAAATGTGATTATGTTTATTGGCATTATATGAGCAAAAATATATGTAATAAAAAATAAGAAGCTGGTGGCTGTGGGTCTATTATATCTGTGCTGAATGTTTTAGATTGGTCTGTGTTTGCATATAAGTCTCGGCATCCCAAGACAAGTGAGTTCCCATTGGGCACCACAATTTCTGTGAGTGATGGGCCATTGGGCAATGGAAAAGGGACACCTTATATGTATGTGTCTGAAGTGGAGGAGGCAGTTCAGGACACAGATGTGAGTCTATCATATACAATGGAAGTACATTTGAATATTACTGTATGAAATTTTGCTGTAATTATTCTAAAAAGCAGCTACATTTTAAAGGCACACAACATTATGTCAGTTAATGTTTTATTATTTTAACACAGTTGGAAAATTAGGGATAATTATCACTTCTATCTCTTTTGATCAGTTCAACATTATTGGCAGAATTTTGTAATATTACTTTTAGATGCTTAAACACCTCCAAAGGTGTGTTTGAATTGCACTCTCTTCCATTGCAAAGAAACTACATTGAGCAACACAGCGATATACCACTGCACATCTCTTGTTGATTTTTCTTGATATACATCAATATTGTATTGTATTTATGATGTGGACTGTCTACTAGAAGATACAAATTTCTCATTGAAAGAAATTTTCATCATTTCAATTGAAAAGTAAATAACTTATTCACAAAGTGTTTCTGTATCTCTTTATTGTACTTGTATGAGTATATTTGTGTCATGCACTGCTCTATTGTATGAATGCTGCAGCCACCTGATCATGTATGACAGTTGCTTCCTGAACTGAACATGCATAAGACATACAGTGACAGGCTATCACTTAACAGGAAAGCAATTCTGGTTTGATTATAGAGAGGCAAGTTTTGTTTTGCCCAATCCTTCCTCTTCATTCTTCCTACACACATACAACAATATTTGTCATTTAATATCTTAGGATGAAGAATAATCGAAAATTAATACAACAGTTCCTTGCCAACCATTGATTTCAAGTATCAGTAATTTTCCATTTATGTAATTTTTGGCAACTCACACAGTAATTTAAGGTGTTAAACATACATAAGAAATCTTTTGATTTAATTGTTTCAAGCAGTATGCTACCTTAGTGATTATATTTTTAAAATATTTTATTGTATATTTTTCTATTTAGTTATGAGTGTTAATAGCAGCTGTAGTCCTCCCAATACCCAACTTCCCATAAAGCCAGGCAAGGGATTGCTGTATTTAAGCAAAGATTTACTCTTCTTAAAGAAGTGAGCCAGAAACTCAGTTTAGAGTTAACTGTTCGTTTTTAATAAGCTGGGCTCTAATCATGATGGAATTATGTTTCAGAAAGACTCACGATGCTCTCTCACTATGACTCTGGCTCAGGGGGATTACTGCAAGCAGAAGAAACTGGACCCGCAATTCCCCACTTGTGCACAAGTCACACTCATTGGACGGAGAGAGAGGGTGAGCTGTGTACTCATTTGATTATGAGATATATATATGTAGTATTCAGAGGAAGGAGGAGTGACTATAAGAAATTCAAAGGAGACTTTAACACTCCTGTGGCACTAATGGCGAACTGGAAAACTCTGTTGGCTTTACCTTAAGAAAATGTACCATTTACATGCTCTTTTTGCATACTTATTCATATAATTCTGTACTTGGCAATTTATCATGGAAACAAGATTATTTACATGAATTAAGCTTTATCATCCAGCAGGGAATACTGTTTCATATTAAATATATGAGTCCTTTAAGCTCCCGTTAAGGGAATATCCTGTCCCATCATATTGTTTTTAAAAATTGTTTAAATTCCCAAAAAGAAATATCTTATTCACCACATGTTGCAATTTTAGGCCCAGATATTATTATAATTTTTTTTTAATTCAGCTGTCCATTTGTGAGGGGTTATTTTATTTCAATATATCATCCTCAGTGTTTTCAAAAATCTAAAGATGCTTGTAAGTCTATAGAAACAGCTGTTCTTAGTTTAATGTGTCACAAAGCATCAGAATGAGGCATAGATGTACGTTATAAAGATACTACAGAAAACGTCTCTAATTAACTCATGGATAATTTCATAAATTACACGCTCTCTTAGCCTCATAATTTTATCAATAACAGTATCTTCTTATTAAAAAATATTAGTACTATGTAATTGGTATTATCACTTACATTTGTGTGGTGTACATTTTGCAGTGTGATCTTGAACAGTCTACAGAAATACATTTCTATTCGGTAAAGTTTTAAAGAAAGACTAACCTATAACTCCACACTGAAATTTTCCCAACTGAACATCATCCCTGTTTCTCTGTTTTTCATGAAACACAGTACTGAATTCATCTTCCTTCAAAGGATCAGTGTTCACTGTGTCATATTTCACATTGGGTCAGTTGGTTGGTTGAAAGAATTTATTTGCTCCATAGGGTTGTCAGCATTTGAGGCATCCTTTCATTCATCTTTTATCAGGTCTCTGATCAGTCCAAATCTGAAATGTCCATGTGATATTTCTGTACTACAAAATGTGGAGGATGAAACTGTTCAGGTTTGAAAGGCCCAGAATGTGGAAAAAAATAGTTTCTATCTCTATTTCCACGTCCAAATGCTGATGGAGTAAGTGTATGTCTTGTGGTCAAATTTATCGACTTATCCCTTGCATGTGTTTAGTATTATGGCTAGTTTCAGAGCATTTTCATGGTCAAGACAGAACCTATTCTCTGCTGGAGGACAATGCCTGTTTGTCAGCATGTTTACATTTTGTTTGTACAGTATAACTTGGTTATAACGTCANTTGTGCCTTACTGTACCTAGATACGAGTACAGTAATCAGTTATCTTCATCTGTTTCCTGTTACTTGCCCAATACACACTTTCTAAATTACGTTCAATGTCCATAATTTTTGTCACAATTTCACTGCTGCCTCCCCTGGATTCATAAAACAAGTTCACAACCCTAATGGCTTCAAGCGCGTCACTCACAGTAGGGATGGAGACTTTGGAACATTCTTCTCCTCCCTCCTCATCTTCCTCCTCTGTATCCTTCTTCACTTCCGATACAGTATCGTCGTCTGTTTGTGCCTCTGTTGTAACAATGTCGTCTATTGTTGCATATGCCTCATGGTCATACTGACCTAGTTCATCACAATTGACTTTACGCAACCATTCTGTTAAAGGTAAAATCATCGTCATTATTGGTGTCATCCTCATTCTCAGTGCCATTCAATCCCTGAGTTGATAAGATTCCCGCATGCCGGAAGCAGTTCTGAATTGTTTTTGTAGTTACTCGTCTCCATGCTTTTTCAATGAATCGTATTGCATCCAGCAGTGTAACTGTGTAATCTTGCTTCTTCTCGATGCTCTCTACAATGTTACAATGTTACAATGCTCTATTAGACGAGATTCTAGGAATTGAATGCAGTTAACAACCTGCCGCGTCCTCTTGCACTATTCATGCAGTCCCACCCCACACCCTTGTTTTCGCAGAAAACCCACGCTCCTCTTGCAGCCCGCGGTCGTATTCTTCCAGGACAGTCACGTCAGCAAGTAGAGAAAGTGAGGGTGGGCAGACACATCGAACTTTCCCATGATATCAGAGAAATTCAGGAATGAAAATGACGTTACATATGAGGTTGATGCATTTGTGCATGTCGTACTAAGCAAGGTATAAAAACAGTTGCTTTATGAGGAATTAGTTCGTACCATTGAATATTTGATGCAATAGACAAGGTGTCGCAGAAACCGATGTTGCTATAACCAAGTTTTACTGTATTTCCACTGTATGGCTGTCAAATCACACCTTACCCTAGTCTTTAAGTTATTTTATCCTCAGTTTCTTTCCAGAGTCCTTAGGCATTTCTTCTCAATTTGATCTGGCAGTATCACAGCAAATTATGGTCTTAGTGAGTAAATCAACATGTAAGTCAGGGGGAAGAAATTATCCATGAAGTGCTTATGCCTCACATTTTCAATTCTTGTAGTCAGTTCTATCCAAGTAATGTGAGTAACTGTATATTCATATAGTATGAATATGCCATGGAATCACATAGTCTGTACATCTTTATTCTATAGCATTTGTGTTTACAAAGACAAAACAACTCCGTCCAGTGTGACTGTTGAAGTTTTTACTACTTGAAAACTTAGCACCCTTACATGTTTCGGACCCTATAGACCATCATCAGAGGGACATCAATACTTTTTTGGAAACTACTATCACAATGGGTGTTTTGAGTGTTAAAATACATATACATACAATGTTTGTAATGCGCAATATATACAAAATCCGACTTTTTTCACAACTACAGCAGCTTTCTTGGTATATTAAAGTTTTTAAAACTATGTTATTTAAGTTAAAATTTATAAACCAAATAGGTTTGTGTCCCTTCTACTATTGTCTTTCTTGATGGGGGCTGAACTTGTGCTGCCTGTCTCTCTTGAGAAGGAGATTCTTGGTATCGTCCTGTGTTTGTTCATGGTGTGCGGTGTTGTTTTCAAGTAGTAAAAACTTCAATAGTTACACTGGTCGGAGTTGTTTTGTCTTTGTAATTGTTAGTGTGATGGACCAGAATGAAACAAATCAAATTCATTAGTGTTTGTTTATTATATATTGTTTGAAGATGACTCTACCCTTCAACAGTAAAATAATTTCATTGATGGCTAAATGTTAAATTTAAGTGTAATATTTAGCATACACATCATTGCACTTATCGGTATATTTACAATTTTCTATAACCTGACATAATTTTTCTGTCTTATTAGGTTAATTTTCATTGTTCCCGAAATGAAAGAATTCTAGCATATGAAAGAGTGTGCCACATGTCCTTGTTTTTTAATAAACGGCTGTAAGAAATTTCTCTAATGTGGATTAGCAGTTTTTCAGCATGTTTCTCTAACTGTGCCTAATGTGCATGATAATAGATCAAATCAAGTATGCTTCATGTAGAGTGACATCAGGCAGGGATGCGTCTTTCATCATGCATCCAATTATTGGTGATAATATCTGATAGTCTCTTCCACCTGCAGTTGCATAACTTCAAGGAAAAAGGAGCATAGGAATATTCAGTACATTCAGTGGTATAGAGTTGTTAGTAACATGGGTGCCTTCTTTTGTCTTAACTTACTGGGCCCCCCTTCAAACCTGAAGATTACAGGTACGTAAGTCCAGTCTGAGGACAGTAAATACATTATGTGGAGTCTGTCTGTGTGCTGTCTTCTTCTTTGTCACAGTCAGTATCTGTGTCACACAAGAAGAAATGTCTTCACTTCAAGAAAGTGTTCATCTAGAATCAGTTCTTGGACTGTATCTTCTTGCTGTATTTTCTTGTAGTTGGTTCAGAATGGGGGGATTTAGAAGTAGTTCCTTTCTGCCCTGAGCTATTCGAGAAGTGCAGCTAGAAGATGTGGATAGCAAGAATATTGCTACAAGTCCCTAATTCTAAGAACATGTAAAAAGCACCTTTTGTCAACACTAATGTCTTTATAATAGAATCTGGCCATCAGTAAACCAGTTTATTCTCTGCAACTCACCCAAGTATTTATAGATACAGCAAGTATCTGGTATGACTCATTAGTGTTCTGTTGCATATATGGCCTTATTATTAAGATTATGGCACACAATTCTCACAATCAGCAATAAAAATCTAATAAAACCTGTGAATAATTGCACAGGAACCTAAACAGAACTATTTGTGCTGAGGCCATTCTTTCAAAGTTTCATGTACAGGGAAATGGAGCTATTCTTAACAGTCCAGTCTTTATTTGAAGACAATAGTTGAGAAGATGTCTTAAATATAATGATATTATGACCTTCAGCAGAGCCGCTGTTTTTAATTTAGGAGACTATGTGGCCATGACTAACTGTAATCAGAATTTAATACTGTACACTGAAGTTTAACATGTGCAGCAGAGGAGAAAAATGGTCCATGTCATGCGGTTGTTGTCCCTAGAGGCCAATGTTCTTGAAAGAAACATCATCACATTTTTATCAGGAGTAAACACAGTATTTTTTTATTGCATTCTGGCTGAGACCTTAAAAACAAAAGACCATAACTGGAGATATTAGATAGAAATAATAACCTCTTGGGGTGAATACGTAGAAAATTCTGTTGAGGTATGAGATTGTGAATCAGACATGAAATGACTCATGATAGGGATCACTACCTGGATAGTAGTATTTAATGTATTTAAATAATTAGCCAGAAGCATGTCTAGGTTTGAAGAAACATGAGTGTAGCTGCAGGGTACAGTTCTCAGACTCTCTACTAATTGTTCCTCTTGACCAACACAGGTTAGAAATGGTACAACAGAAGAGGCTTTTGCCAAGAAAGCATTATTCAGCCGCCATCCTTCAATGAAAACATGGCCAAAAGGTATGTAAATTTGCTTTCCATATTATTTAATAACATTGTATCGATTGTGGAGGATGACATTATGACTTAGTTGAAAGTACTATCCCAGAATGTCTAGAAGATTTGGAAGGAAACAGAAATATCTAATTTCATATTTGCACCAGCTGACACTACTAAACAGGATCTTTTTCTGAATAAGCTGAACTCTTTACAGCTTGAGTTAACCTGTTCAGTGTATAAGAAGTTTAATGCATTTCTAGAAGACAGCAGACATTTGTTACTCATTCCTTTCTTCCATTATTTTGCTGTAACAGCTATGATGATAGAGCAGCAAGCATTGGGGGCAGGCCTCATGTCTTACTTGTGAAGTTCCTAGTTTGAATGCCAGCCTGGAACAGTTCTTCCAGCTAATGCTTTTCTTTGTATTGTCCAGTTTGTGTGTTACATCTTAGGTCTGTATTAGTGCTCTCACACGCCTCTAAAAGCGAGATTATGTAGCACTGAGTGACTGACTGTGGCATGATTGAAAAAGATATGTCTAGAAGGTATCTTGAAAACAACTATCTTCAGATCTCTGAAGGTCATGGCATTGAGCTAGAAGACTGAGGAGGACCATGAGGAACTCTGTTAAGTTAAAACCAAAGGCACCCTTTGAGATACTGAACCACAATTTCTCAGAACCTTCCTAACAACTCACAGGATATGAATGCTGAATGCACAGCCTAGAATATAAGACTGTTAAGTTCAAACTTCTCTACCCTGAGGCTAGGCCAGTCAAATAGCTAAGTCTCAACATAACCACATAAGCCAACACAAACAGATCCTTGCTGAACAATGCAGCAACTAGCCAGCCAAGCTGAGCTTTGGTTAGTGAGCTGGATAGAACTTAGACCGACTGGTTAGCCTAACCAATCACAACTCCCTACAACATGACCTAGGCTAGCACACTTAACCCAAACGTAATGCAGCCAGCCCATACCTAGCCTAGTCTGAGCCTACCTCATCCTGACAGCCATACAGCCAAGCCCAGCCACTCCCTTACCAAATAGTGAGTATAGCCCAACAAACTAGCCAAGCTCAAGCTTAACCCAGCTCAAGTGGAGCCAAAGCAGCCAGATTAGCCTGATACTAACCCCGTCTGGGGGGCACTGTGCTACAAACCGGAAGGTCGCAGGTTCAAGTCCTGATGAGGTCATTGGATTTTTTCAGTTGACCTAATCCTTCCAGCCGCACTATGGCCGTGGGTCGATTCAGCCTCTAACAGAAATGAGTACCAGGAATATTCTTGGAATGTTCTTGGGGGGTAAAGGGTAGCAGGCATGTAGGGCTGACAACCTTGCCGCCATCTATGAGCCGATTATCTAGAAAATGTGGGAACCTCAACATCTCACAACCCTCTGGGCCTCCACGGCCTGTTACAGGTATACCTTTATATTTACTATCAGAAATTATCTGAGCCCAAGTACAGCCTTACCCAAGGCCAAACCAACAAGTCCTGGATCAAGCCTGACCCAGATGGCCAGTTTGACAACATGCAAGGTAACCTGAATCTACTCCAACCTGAGCCTTGCCAAGCTAAACAAGCAGGCAGTCCCCAGCATAACTTACATGGATGTGATGGTTTCAAAGCTTGTTTTGATGTTAAAAGGCATAATTAATCAGAATTCTAGTTTCTTCATTTTCATAGTTTGAGATTTTGCTATTCTCTGCAGTCTATCACGATGATTGAAACAGATTTTCTTGCTTTACACATCCACCACTAAGGATGCCTCTGATTCATGATATAAGTAGTTGTACATAGCCTTAAATCTGTGAACATTTAACTTTGACTACCTTGAAAATGGAAGTATCTATTTTTCGTTGACTATGCTGAAGTTCCTGATGAGTCTGTAACAGCTAAGGCTGTTCCAAAAGTACTGCTATCAGTTTTTGTCACTTGAATACTGTGTGTAAAGGTGTATTCTCTGAGAAAGGAGCTGTTCTTGTCTGAATTACAGAAAATTAAGTTTAAAATGCCTGCGCTAAACTATTGTTTGTTTTTGCAGATCACCACTTCTTCTTCACAAAGCTCAACATTGAACGTGTCATGCTCGTAGATACCTTTGGAGGACCAGTCTTTGTTGATGTTGATGAGTATTTTGACGTGACACCATAACACTGTTGTAGTTAGCTTGATATTAGAACTGTACAGTTTGGTGAGCCCTGCTCCTCTTTATTCTTGTTACTTCCTTTCTAATTCTTGACGATTCAAGGTAACTAGGCCAAAGGTAGTCTCTGTTACAAGTAGTAACATTAAAAAGTAATGTATAGTCAGTGTTCTCTACAGAATGGTTCATAAACTGGTATTTCTTTCCTTGTATTGCAAGACTGTATTTGTTTTTCCAGAGTTGGGTTTTTTATTTCAAGTGGTGTGGGACTAAGTCCCTTTCACTGCACCCACTTCTGGCCTATTGTACCAGCCCCATATGCTAGGTGAGGGTGATTGTGGAGAAATTGGTGGAATGAAGATTGGCAGGGGAACTGAAGTACTCGGAGAAAACCTGCCCCAGCACCACTTTGTTCACCACAAATCCCACTTGACCAAACCCGGGATCGAACCCGGGCCGCCACGGTGGGAAGCCAGCAACTAACCACTTGAGCTATGGCGCTGCCCTTGAGTTGGGGTTACTAAGAGAATAGTGGTTTCTCACTCTGCTGAACTGAGGGCCTTATGTAGATTCTCCTTTGTGAATGAACACATGAAAATGTGAATGACTAAAATGGGAGCATTGTAAAATACCTACTAAAATATGTTTGCATATTCCGTAACAGGCCCAGGTTCACATGATAGGTGCACTGTACTGAGTAGCCAAGTAATGACAGGAAGTGTTTCATTTCTGTACGAGTATGATGTTTCAGAAGATTTGACTCTGGGACCTTGATATGTTCTTCCATCTATATTTCAGAAAGATGAGATTCATCCAAAACAAGACTTCACCATGCTGTACAATAAATCAGAATAACACATTTTCCTAACTTTTTGGACTGCAGAATCAGCATACATTTTGGGTGTACTGATGAAAGAAGTTGTGGGGGAAAACAAGCAGTGAAAAGAGGACATAATGAACAGAAAAGAACATTCTTTAACATTTAAAAAATGAAATAGAGAAGAAATAGTAAATATTAAATGTTATAATTTATTCTGCAGCCCACCTGAGGATAGGAAAGAAAATTTATTTTAATATAATACATTTTCTTATGTACTGTAATATTCAATGAATTTTATTCCTTTATCTTGGATGAGATTGGTTACAAAAGGAAATGTGGTTTGTGCCATATATGACATACAGTGCTGTAAGGGAATGATTATGTTCACCATTATCACTTATTTAACATGTCACCAATTCAGATTGCATATCATCAAAAGGTATGATGGTGAGTGAAAAAGGATTTGGGAGGAAGAAGTCATGACCTTACTTGAGATGCTTTCTGGTAACTTTAACTGGAGAAAATAGTAAAACCATGAAGACCCATAAGCATATCCGAAGTTCTGGTCTATGTTCAAGCCAGTTAAGTCCCAAAGACAAGCCAGAATTACCACTTGAGCGAACTTGCTTGGTCCAGTTGGTGGCATGGGTCCTAGAAAGTTTTATGGTTATACATGCAATCAAAAACATCTACTTTTCAGTATACATCCAATGGAAATAGAATATGATGCATATAATGTCGCATATATGGCACAAATCATGTTGGCAAGGGCAACTCCATATCCTGATGAATATGTTGTATTAAGATATTTTCCTGATTTCAGCATATTGTATTACAGATGCCTTAATTTGTTTGTATAGAAATAAAAAATGATTCAGCACAAAGTTAAAATTTACAATTTTTATTTAAATCAAGAGTGTAATTCACAGCAAACAAAGATAACTACTAGGTCAAAGGTTAGTAACAATGATAATAAGAGTAACCACAATAAAATCAGTGATACTAAGAGAAGAACAGTACTAATGACAACAACAATAATAATAACAATAACAACAATAGTAATAGCAATAGTAGTGTCACGTGATTTGATATGTCTAGAGAAGAGGTTTGGATTGGTACTCTATTTACTAGACTTGTAAACAACTTGTGACTATGCTTTACAAATCACCATCACACAAACACTAGTGTTTGCAGTCAGTCACAGTCTTCATTGCACTGCTTAGTAACGTCTTCCAACAGTGGATGATCCTCTGCTCCCAGGCTCATGTCCTTACATAATGGCAACCACTTCACACTGACATCCTACTCTTCTAACTGCCATCTCAAGAGACTCTCTCATAATCAGTGTCAAGGTCAAATTTATTTTACAACTGACAGTTTACCGCCAATCAGTTCGTCTTGGTGCCAAGCCCCTTGAGAATCATGACCAGAGTCTTTTTTTCAACTGAACCCTAGTGGCCATAGTCCTTATGTAACGTCCTCTCTGACCAGAACATGGGTTTATCTAGTTACTATACAGGATTCTGACGATGGTGTATAACACACTGATATATTGGGTTTCTGGACTTTATCCATTGTCCAGTGATTGAGGCTAGCTCTTTCTAACGGACCCAACAGAATAGGTGTTCCCCTTTTCCTTCACCTGAGGATGGAAACAGATCCAGTTTCCGAAATGTCGTGTTTTTATTTGTTATCTTAAAAACTAGGACGATGGATAAAGTCCAGAAACCCAATATATCAATGGGTTTATCTCTTATGAATATGATTGGCCTTTCATGAAGTGTACATATTGCACATATAGCATGTTATTGAAAATTCTTCCTTTTGCACTATATACAAGTTCTCTGTCAGTACAGGCTTTTCAAAGCAGATTGTGCCTATCTTACATATGTTATAACAACAGCTTAGTCACTTGAATGGTAGATGTTAGAGGTAGATGTATACTGCTCATTCTCTGGCGGGGCAAGAGCAAGTCATTACTGATCTTATCAGTCCATAATCTTGGCTCTTAAACGCTTACTTCTGAAGGGGAAGTTGATTATTCTGAATGTTCTGAAGGTCTTGGCTTCTATCAGTTGTATGTACAGCCTCCATGTAGTTCTCTTATTGAAGATTGCACCCATATATTTTACATGATTAACAAACAGGATATTCCTGCCATTCAATATAAAATGAGCCTCAGCAGGGCCTAAGCCTATGAGAAAAGTAGGTGGTCTGAGTCTTATCTTCATTGATTTTTATGTTTCAGCACTCACACAACATCTCAATAGTACTGAGACCTCGCTGCAGCTTTCTGAGAACATAACCCTCTTTGCAGCCTGTTGAATATATACAGACATCATCAGCAAGGAGACCTAGGTAGACACCAGGTGTTTGGGGCCTATCATTTATATATATAAACTGCTATGTGGGGGTCAGGCTGGAACCTTGTGGCACCCTGTTTGTATATCTCTTGGCACAGACATTTTGCCTTTGACTGAAGTCTGAATTTTCTCTTAGAAAGAAAGGAACTAATAAGTTTGATTAGACTGATCAAAAATTTTATTGTAGATTATTCTTATGGCAACCCAAGGTGCCATGTTGTACCAAAGGCTTTTTCAGTATTGAAGAATGCAGCAGCCATGGATATGTTACTGTTGAAATTTAAGGTGATGTGGCCCATAATCCTCATATGTTGAAGTGTCATACTGTGACAGGAATGAAAACCAAACTGGCTTCCATCAAGCAGCCTCCTTCTTCAATATGTCTTTGGAATATATTCAGAATAACTTCCTCAAACACTTTATTTGTTGTAGATAGGAGGCTAATCAGACATACATTTTGAGGAAATTTGAGCCCCTTAATGGGTTTCAGTAATGTTATAACTTTTGCTTCCTTCCAAGGCTTTGGAAAATGGGACAGCCAAATGCAGCCATCAAATAAATGTGCAACATGTACCAGTGGTCTTCTTGGAAGGTTCCTAAGGCATTTATCTGGAATACCAGCAAGCCCACAAGTCATTCTGAATTTCAATGAATTTGCTAATTTGTGTGTCACAAGGTCTTACTTTTCCAATGGGATGCCATCTACAGATGTGAGCAGAGCTTTGACTCTAGTCTTCACCTCTTGATAATACTTTTTTTTTTCACACAGGTTATGAGATGTGAATTTGTATTCTATACAATCTGGAATCATGCTGGCTATCTCATGTGGGTGACAAGTTATTCCCAATGGTCCATCAACAGCAGTTGGTGCCTTTGGCCCATCCCTTTCCATAAGTGATTTTGCTGGTCCTTGTTATATGCAGCCTTGCACAGGCCACACAGAAAGTACTGTTGCCAACATTTCATCCTTTGTTGTATGGGCATGTTGCTTAGTGATGGTTCTGGTATTGTTGTGAGCTTAGAAAGCTGTTGCCTAGCAACAGGCATATTTGCAGAGCCATTCCCTAATAACAGCTGTCTCACCTGACTTCACAGTTCTGGTTTTTGGCAGATATGCCACAATACAATCAATCACATAAACCTCAGATGGGCATGAGTTATATTTGAACCATTTAAGTCAGCAAGAAGAGATGAGATTGTACTAGCACTTCTGCAGCAAGGGATAGAATATCTCTAGTCCTACGCCTGTGTAGCATATTATGAAATTGTCTGGCATGTGGATATATTCCTATGGCTTGGAGATTAGTGCAAGTAACTTGTATATGAAACCCCAGGAATTCTGATTACACTGAAGCTAAGGATTATGGCCCTATCAGACTGTTTGGTGGATGAATGTATTAGGGATATGTTGTCACATGTATTAGTGACTTGTAGAGGAGGGGTTGGATTTGTGAATAGATTTTTGAACACTCACAAGTTGTAATTACAATTAATTATAACACTCTAGAGATTACTTTAACTATAACACATAAGTAAAGTCTTCAACATCTGATTGCTTAGTCGTTGCTTGTTAACACTACACTATTCAACTTCCTCAAATGAATCTTGAAGAGTCTCTAGTCTCCTCGATTCTGGATCTGGATCTCTGCTCTCCCAAACTCTCTCTCTGGAAGTTTGAATACTGGACTGAACTAACTTCATGTGGATCGAATATAGAACACCCAGTTGGACAGCTGATTGTCCTCTGATATTCTCTATTGCCACAAAACGTTTGACAATCTCTGGACAATGGGTTGATTTATACAAACATATTTGTTGCTGCAGAAGTGTGTTTTAGCTAGCCATTGTCTAGCAACAGACATCTCTGCTGTGCTCCTCTGACTGCACACTTCTGGCTTTCAGGCATCATATCACACTAGATTGAAGGAGTATCCCCTGCATCGAAACCAGTGTGCCAACAAAACTGTATCTCACAATGCGGTCATGAGCACTGAAAGTGCAGTTGAGCACAAGGAACTAGCCTTAGGAGCCTTCTTGGACATGGAGCCAGCCTTTGACACAGAATGTGTAAAGGCATGGCACTGATACTACAATATGCAGATGGATCTTACCCATCAAGATAAATCTTGAGGGCGTCCAATGTCTGCAGAG